GAAGGAAGGAAGGAAGGAAGGAAGGAAGGAAGGAAGGAAGGAAGGAAGGAAGGAAGGAAGGAAAGTGTGCTGGGAAATGCAGGGTTGAAGGTAAAGCATAGCTGACTTTGCAACAGTTCTGTCTCCCAGGAAAAATAATTTGATGTTGAAAAAGTCACTCGCAGCTTTTTAACAGTACTTTCTCAATCTGGTAAAAAGGTTATTTTTGAAGTGTATTTCAGAGGAAAGGAGAATTGAAAATAATTTATCCTGAATGGGTCCTGGTTTTTTTATACATATCTAGTGACAAGAGGAGAGCCAATTTGCTGCAGTGGTTAAGGCATCAGGCTAGAAACCAGGAGATCATGAGTTCTAGTTTCAATTTAGGCACAATTTGAGTTGGCTGACCTTGGGCCAGTCCCTCCCTCTCAGTCCTGGGTAGAAGGAGGCAGGAGCAAACGACTTCTAAAAATGCTGCCTAGAAAACTGTAGGGACTGGTCCATGTAGGTCACCAGAAGTCAACACTTGACTCAAAGGCACCCCGATCCCCCCAAAAACGCTGACAAAATAGCTACAGGGTGTGTGTGAATGTCCTTAGCAACCACATAGCTAGATTTTTCTCCATGACAATCTGTCCCCAACCTGGTCCTTCAGGTCTTCCATTAATGCACCCATCACCACCATAACTGAGTCCATCCACCTTGCTGCTGGTCATCCTCTTCTTCTCTTTCCTTCCGCCTTTCCTAGCATCACAGCCTTCTCCAGAGACCTGGCTCTTCACATATAGTGTACCTAGACAGAGATGCTCCTGAAATCACTAGAAGTTGAGCAAAACTCAACAGAGTCTGGATCCATGATTGAAATCTGCAAATGTCCTGAAATAGTTGCTGTTCTGTTGTAGGACCAGCCCTACCACTGGGTAAAATAAGGACAAATCATGGATGCTGAGAAAGTTAAGGCTGTGTGCAATAGCTTGTGTTTACTAAGCTCTTCTACTGCCTTCAAGCAGGTTGGGAGATCACACTGGAAGATGCTGTCCCATCACCAATGTTGGAACAACTTTGCCCGCTAGTCAAGTTAGAATGGGAGACATGGTGGCACTGCCACCTTGTTCTTGGAACTAGGCAACAATATGCCTTATGCCAGCTCTCTCTCCCTCCTTCTCTCATGCTTATCTGAATTCTAATCATGCTGGAAATAATAACTCTATTCCTTTTAAGATGTCATGTTTTGTCCCCTGTGCAATGGCACCGTTACATTTGAAATGTTGTTTCTGAAATATTTGGGGGTGGGGGTGGCAGGAGAAGAAAGAATAAACCTACTGGTTTAAAAATATGCCTTCATGTTCCTCTGCAACATAAAAGGTTTGCTACAGGAAGGAATATTATCATTAAAGTTGTGTCTCGTGACATTTGATGCAGAACCTGTTCAGTTTTGCAGAGAGAAATGACATTATTGGAGAATTCTGTCTCGTCTTGTCCACACAACAGTCTGCTAACCAGCTTATTGCTGTGACGGTTTAATTTACGCTGTCTTGGGAAGCTTCTTGTAGCAAAGGTTGCTTGAAAGGTTGATCTAGGTGTGAAAAACATCTACAACAGGAAATGGAATTTCAATATACATCTTTAATAAGTGATAGACCAAAGGCAAGGAATAATTTTCTAATAATAATTCAGAATACTAAATAAATAATTTAAAATAATAATAATAATAATAATAATTATTATTATTATTATTATTATTATTTTCTAATCATAGGGAGACCTTTGAACAAATAAACCATGCTAAATTTTGAGGAAATACATCAGAGAACAGTAAACCTTTATTTCAGAACTAAGATAATTGCAGATTGCTTTTCCAACCTTTTTCGCATATGATTTTGCCACCATCTAGATGAAATTTCGAGCTTTTCAGGGCATGAAATGATTTGCTGAGGTCCAGGAACTAGCTCTGAATATTTATCAAAGTGACAGAATGCAAAGAACAAATCAGGCTCTACTGTAGATTTAATCTGTGAGGAGATTTTCCCCATTGCATACATCCTGTCAATCCTGTTTTAGCTTTGGTAGTCCTTGAGAGCAATTTGCATAACTCCAGTTTGCAAAAAAGCCCATAATTCTGGCCACAGAGAAAAAAAAAATCCTGCCTTGGGAAATTGAAGGAAAAACAGATTTCAGATTAAGGAGATGGAAAGAATGCAGAGAAGAGTGACAGAGATGGTGAGGGGCCTGGAGGCTAAGTCCTACAAAAAACTGTGTATGTTTTACCTGAAGAAGAGAAGGCTAAGGTAGTCTTCCAATACAGGGCCGATGATGTAGACTGATTCTCCAGAGCTCCCAAGGACAAGAACCAGTGTGTGGAAGCTTTACAAAGCGAGATCCCAGCTCAAAAAGAGGATTTTCCTGACTGTGAGAACTATCAAGCAGTGGAACAGTTTGACTCTTGGAGTTATGGATGCTCCATCACTGGCAGTCTTCAAGAAAAAACTGGACAGCCACTTGTCTGTTGTGGTCTGAGGATTCCTACCCTGAGGTTGGACTAGAAGACCTTCAAGTTCCCTTTGAACCCTGGAATTCTGTGTTGTTGTCAAGTTGAAGGTGGAATTTGGAAAAAAAAAATACAACCATCTATGTTATGTGGTGATATAGAGCATTTAAATCATATTAAACATATAGACTTGTGTTACGTGGCATGGCTTTAGTAATGGAATGCACTCTCAGCGTTTGTGGTACATGTTGATAACATCAGGATGGATGCTATAGTACATGTGAAAAGTAACTGAAAGGTCAATTTAATAGCTTATCAAAGCATTCCAGAGGAAAGGGTACTTGGGTAATTGTTTTACCCATTTTATCTTTCTGTTATCTGTTTCCTGTGTTATTGCTAATACATATATAATGTGGAAAATGGGCTTGCTTGGGGCTCTGCTGGCAGGAAGCCCAGTGACTCGCTATAGGTATTTCCAACAAAGTATACTGTGTTGTTTGTATCTCCAAATGCTTTGGTTTCTCTTTAGGTGAGTGTTTTCCTCATAACAGTTAGCTGTATTGGCGGGATCCAGAGGAGAAATGGAATCTTCCAAAGTTCTCCAGAACATTCTGTTCCCAGAAAACTAGGTTTTGCACATACAATAAAAATAGCACTTCTTGCACATTTATGCTTATTTTGCATTCTTTTCTTCATGAAGTTCATGAAGGTGAAAAACTTCAACATTTGAAGTTCATAGGAAAAAAAAAAAAGGATGGGAGAACTCCATTTGCCAGCTAAAACTTTGCTAGGAAGTGTGTTGAGTTTTCCAGAAGAACAACAAGGGTATGGTAGATGTGGAAGACAGGGTGGTGCAGGGAAATCTCATCAGCTTGCTTTCTGAGAAGTGGGTGTTTTTTTTATTAGCTATTGCCACCTTGGTAACCATTCAGGGACAAAAGTCATGACCAGTCTTCAGGAACTGATACTTTTCATCAAAAGAAAGAAAGAAGCGTTAGATCTTCTCAACGCAAACTTCATTCCTTTTCTACCAGTGTAAGAAGGCTTGTACAAAGGAGTGAAGCTTATTGTCATATGTCAACATGATGCTTTCAACACTTATTCCCCATTGACATCCCCTATGGGTGCCTATACCATAATATGCTTGAGAAACTAAATGTAAGCCATAGGTCCCAAGCTATTGTCCACCTCTCAGTTTGTAACTGTTCTCTCCTTTCCTTATGCCCATGTTTCGCAAGTCCAAAATCTAGGTTTAAGGAAAGAATGTCTCTATATCTGTGGAATAGATTAAGGATGCTAGAGAATTAACAGAATATATTTAGACTTTGGGTGGGGGAAGAAGCTCTCAGAGTCTAAGAAACAATGCACACTTTGTTTGATGAGTCCCCTTCTATTACTGAAACTATCTATTTGCTATTTCCAATTTTGCTCATTGTTGCACCATCAATGTTGGGTTGGTGATTCTAAATCCACAAGACTATTCCATGTAGCAGCAAGGATCTTCTTACCTACCTCTTAAAAGTTATGATGAGCTTCTCTTCGAGATGTTGTGCACAGGATTACTGTGATGGAATGGTATGGTGAAGGCTGCACTCAGGGAGATAAGCATTTCCTTAGCCCGCAGAATGAGTGTGGGAAGGTGAAGAGGATGAGGCTGGCACCACCCTAAGGAATTTGCAGTTTGCTTGCTGGCTTGGGAAGTTTAGATTCAGTCTGGTGAGATTCTGTCTTGTAGGTAGAAGCTAATAAATGCAGTAGAATTGTAACTCTCGTGGAGTTCTTTGGGCTGAACCTGACAATTACAGGCTGAATCCCACATCTTTGTCAGTACAACTGGCCTTTTCCACTCTAACTGGTTTGCAAGGAAGCCAAGATCTACAACCAGAAGGGAACATCACCTACAAAATATTCAGAAACTTGAAACATTTTCTTATGAAAGCCCATGGTATGAATGTCATTGATGTAAGGTTTACCCCGTTCAGCTCCGAAGAAAACTCTCGTGACACGAGGGTTCAGCAAAAAGTTTACTAAAGCATAACATAGGTAGGTACAGATAAAGCCAGGGTTGGCTTGGCATAGCTTACATGGTATTTTATAGTTTCCCCATTCCCGCGTTTTGCCCGTTGCTTAGTTACAGATTACCCGCAGTAATCCCCCCTCGCCCAAATGGCAGATTCAGT